CCTCTCTCCATCTCCACGGTCCCTTTGCCCTCTCTTTGATCTTCATCGATCACAAAAACCCCTTCTCATCCTTGGACCACTCTGGGTGCAACCTGTGTTCCTGGCCCTCCCAAGATCTGTGCATATATGTGAGTAAGCAAACCATTAGGAAAGCGTGCAATCTAACCCTGGAATAAGGACATGGAAGACATGGAATAATCCTCATGGTGGTTCACATGCCCATGAGGAACCCGAGCTGTGGGAAAGCTCTACCAACCCAACTTTAGGTACATTTTCCAGAATTCCTCATTTAGCTTTCTTGCATTGCCATCTCTGGAATGTCAGCCCGCTCGATTGAAAACTGGAGTATCTCTGGCCCTGAAATCTCGGGGCTTGCTAAGGAATCAATCAGAAAAGAAAAAGGTGTTTCCAGAAGGATTCTTCCAGCCCTTGCTGGCCTCAGAGGAGAACCTGAACCCAGACACAACCATAAAAATAAATGAGTGCTTCAGAGCTGCTTAATTGCTTGAGCAATTAAATTAGGTGGGGGAAAAACACAATACTAATTGATCGGATGCATGCGGTCAGATGCAGAGGAATTCAGTTATGTATCTGAGATGCGATTCCCTTTTCTTTGGCCTGTTAAATAAATTCCTAATTCATTTCCTTCAGAAGTCCTCCTGTTAAGAAACATGGAAAAAGGCAAATGATCCATGTCTTAAGAGAACTTCTCATTTCTATTTCAGCCTCCCTCCTTCAAATGTTTTGGCACACAATTGGCACTGGACTAGTGGCTACATATTTATATTAATGTTGGAATTACTCAGAGGGTTGTTACTACGTGATGCTTAAAATAATTTTGGGTTTTTTTTAATCAAATGAAAAACTTGTATCTAGCTAATGAACAGCATATTCCTCTAACTATAGTGTTTCTCAACTTCCGCAACTTTAATATGTGTGGATTTCAACTCCCAGAACTCCCCCACCAGCGTGCTGACGGGGGAATTCTGGGATTTGAAGTCCACACATTTTAAAGTTGCTGGGGTTGAAAAATACTGCTCTTATATTACTGTGGGCTTTTTTCCATAGTGTTTTTTTTTTTAAAAAAGGTTGCGATAAATCTATTTAAATAAATAATAAACACCTGTTTTTCCTTTATGTCTTATGCTGCGGAACACTGCCAGACTCAGCCGGTTGCAGCGAGTCGCAAACCTAGTAAAATAAATAAATAACAACAAAAATTAAACCAAGCCGCACCAGAGGTTGATTTTTGCATAAGGTTACACAATGAGAATAAATTTGGCACCCAAGGAAAACGTTCAGGACTGGTTCTCTCCCTGACCTGCCATTCATCCATTACAATGGATTTTCTACATTACATTTAGAAAATACAGGGTAAGTGGGCTTGGAAAATCTTGCCAGGTTCCCCCAGAGTCTCTTTCTTTGGGAAGACCACAAGATAGTACATAGAAATATTCAGGATTCTATGATTTGAAAAAAAAGACGAACAGTGGTTCTTCGAAATAAGACGTGCATTATGGGTCAGCGATAACGTAGTTCTCCAACCAATACTGTAAACCCTCTATGGTTGGCTTAGTGCGAATCTTTCACAGGGTTAAGTAGCCTAAAGTTGGGAACCTGGGCAACTGAGACCCCGCGGGGGCCAACCGGGTCTGCCCGGTTCAGTTGCGCGATGGGAGAACGCCGTCCTGACCCAGAACTCCCGGTCACCCTGGTGAAGCGTCTGAAAAGGTCCCTGAGCTTTAACCCAAACTTCTTGATTCTTGGGCGTCTGTTACCGATCGCAAGATGGATTGTCATTCACAGTTAAGTCCATCGTAAGGTGCTTACATGCCCTTCCTTCTTTCCCAATTCGCACAAAGGACGGTCGGAGCGTTTGCCGTGGACGGCAGGGCGTGGACGAGACGGGATTCGGCTTTTGGCAGTGGCGTTAGGAAGATTATCTGGCTGCCCCCTGACAACGAGACCCCCCAGCCCCCCGAAACCACGAAGAACAACAACGCAAAACCCCGTACAACAAATGTGTAATTTTCCCTGAGTAAAACCCGCAAGTGCTCTACGTTCATATTGCACTAGAGAGGAATGGAGAACATGTGCAAAAAAAGCAACACAGACCGAAGCTTACTAATACATCTTTTAAAAGAACTATTTTGCGATGTCCTCGCGCTTTATGGAATGTCGGCAACACAAGTAACTTCCTTTCAGCTACAACGGAACGCAAAACCCACCACCCGCGCCTCTGCTATGGCACATGCAGTGAAATCAAATGTTTTTTCCAAAGACAAGTAGACAAATCCCATCAACAAAAATAATACAAAGTTGGTTTGTTTTTTGTTTTTCTTTTTTAGAAAAATTACATTGCTTTCTTTCATTTTTTTTTTTCACATTACAAAATCTTTTTGTTTGTTTACCTTTACACAAATCACATTTTATTGCAGGAATATTTCAAGTGCCACCAAATATTTATAGAAGGGTTAAAAAAATAGAAGTCTCTCTAAGTGGTCCAGACAAGGCTTTATATAGAATATTTTTTCCACCTTCTATTTTTGACTTACACATCTTCAACACATTTTCTTTATTCCATGGACACTTAATGGCCTAACGACAGCCACGCACACACACACCCCACGCATACAAGGGTACACACATTCAGACCTTGATATCCATAGGACAATGAAAAGCGCCATAAAAGGACAACCAAATTTAAAAGAATGTCACACATTGTGTCAGTTCATAATTTTAAACAATATAAACATGATTGAGACAGAACTGTGCCATCAAGGTTCAAGACTACACATCTTCTTTTAAGTCAGTGCAATAGGTCCACCAAAATGGGATGGGAGCCGAAAACCCAAACTAATTTTAACTGCCAGCTTTCTGGAGTTATCCTGGCACCTGCAGGTATAACATAAAGCTTTGATATGTTACACCACAGAGCATGCTACACTTTATATATTTGAATTCCACCTGGAGTTTGTTATTCAACAAATAGACAAGGCTAGCCATCTTTAGATTTTAACGCTTATTCTCAGATTTTATGTTTTTTCTGATAGGGTTCCTCTCTGTTCTGACATTAAAAGTACATACTGCTGATTACATGCTGAATTTCTCAGCATCTTTCATAAGAGGATTATCAGCACTATTTTATCATTATCAGAACATAATTGGCTAATTGAAAGGAAATGATCAGAATAGTGCAAGCAATAGTATTCCCTGTGACCCTCTATGGAAGTGAAAGTTGGACTTGGAAGAAGCAGGATAAGAAGACTGACACTTTTGAACTTTGGTGTTGGAGAAGACTCCTGAGAAGACCATGGACAGCCAAGAAAACAAACCGATGGATCACTGAACAAATCAACCCAGAATTCTCACTCAAGGCTCAAATTATCCTACTTTGGACACTTTATTTGAAGACCTAACTCTGTGGAAAAGGCTCTAATGCTGGGAAAGGTGGAAGGAAAGAGAAGAAGAGGATGACCAGCAGCAAGGTAGATAGACTCAGTTACAGTGGCGATGGGAGTACTGTTGGAAGACCTGAAGGACTAGATTGAAGACAGACCACCCTGGAGAAAATCTATCTAATTGGTTGCTAAGAGTTAATAACAACTTGGTGGCACATAATCAATCAATCAATGAATCAATCAATCAATGTAAAGACCCAAATCCCTATAATGCTGGGAAAAGGGGAAGGAAGGAGAAGAAGAGGATGACCAGCAGCAAGGTGAGGCATTCAGTTACAGTGGCGATGGGGGCAGCGTTGGAAGACCTGAAGGACCAGGTTGAGGACAGATGGAGAAAATCTATCTAGGTAGTTGCTAAGAGTTGACACAGACTTGATGGCACATAATCAATCAATCAATCAATCAATCAACTGAAACGAAGACAATGCACCAGGACAGCACCATGGAAAATTACAAGCAACCAGAAGTTTCTATTATTATCCCTTAAACAAAAATGAGGCATAAAGAAGGTTGATTTCCAAACCAAAACTCAACTTCTTTATAGACGTGACTGGAAACGATGCAGATTCCTTGCAAATAATAGTGAACTCAATATTTAGTATGGTCTGTGTACATACATGGTCCTACAGAAGGCATGATAAAGTCAGTACGTTCTGCCTACTACCTTAAGCAATCCTTGCTCTTCTTTTGACTCAGCTTTTCCACTTTGTGCCTCTATTAAATGTCTGAGTTTACATGGCTCTTGGCCCATCAGCCAAAGAATTGAATTTTAACTAGATTAGCCTTTGAGACTGAACTTCGTCCAGATTTAAGGGAGGACTGTAACCCTTAGAAAGAATGGAACTGGCTGTTAGCACCACCTCCTCTGATAAAAACAGCAAATACTAGGGGTTGGGAAACTGCGTCCGATTTTTTTAGAATAATTTTTCTTCTCTTAATTAGCTTTACATCTGATTCTATTTGCATGTCTGGGTTGGGAGAAAGAATGACACTTGGGATCCTTCCAGAATTCCATTCGTGGGATCCTTTCCAAGCTCGGCATAGTCATAATGTTCTTTGCTCAGCCTTTCTTTAAATTAAGAAGTATATTTATTAGTTTACGAGAGGTTCCTTACTATACTCGAGAACTTGCTTGTAGAAAGGCATGGTTAAGCCCTGTGCTCTAGACACACCTATGAACCACTCAACTGTATCTTCCATACTTGGGGTATGGTGCAGTAGGCAGATCCTCGAAGATCTGGGGGGTAGCAAAAAGGGACATAGATTCAATTTTGCATTCCCTCAGTCCCTGATTGATTTGAACCCATCTCTGGACCCACGTAAGCACTTCAGTGCGCTCAAAGGTGACCATAACTGCCAAATTTCTGGCTCTTATTTGTAGATCCTTACATTGAGTTGCATCTAAAACATCTAGAACAGTGTTTCTCAATCTTGGCAGCTTTAAGATGTGTGGACTTCAGCTCCCAGAATTCCCCAGCCAGCCATGCTGGCTGGGGAATTCTGGGAGCTGGAGTCCACACATCTTAAAGTTGTCAAGGTTGAGAAACACGGATCCAGAAGAAACTCTCCGTCAGCTGGGCCCCTATTGCTTTAAAATGTTTGGATGGGTTCCTTTATGTTCACAGGCTAAGATTACATTAACCAATTAGACATACAGACAACTCATTATAGTCCATTATCAGCTCTGCTTTATGCCTGCTTGTTGACACACCGGATTCTCTCGTAACTATTTAAGCCTATATAAGCTGCAGCAAACTTTGACTTTAAAAAATAGGAGGGGGAGAGGGAGAGAGAGGGAAAAGTTTTATCCAAACATTTTTTGGGATGTGACCAAACTGGTTTCATAATTCTGAAGCGCGTTAAAAAAAAAGAGAGAGAGAAACAGGCAAAGTTGTATTTTCTGTGCCAAATAATTAGCAGGGCATTTCTCAATATTTAGGAAAATTCCAGCTGTTTACTCAGCACTAAACGAAAACTATGGAAAATAACAAGACTTGACCCCTCATGCAACTTTTATGAAGTACCATTTAAAAAGTTTAAATACCATTTAAATGGTAGTTAATACGGTTTAAAGACCATTTAAAAAGGTAAAATAGTAGCACATGGGAGAACGCATTAACCAATGAAAAAAGAAATGTTACTACCTGCTAGATATTATATATTCTTAAAAAAACCCAAAAAGCAAAATATAGCTTAGTAAGGTCTCAGTTTAACAGACCATTTGGGGGGAAGTAGTATCTTCTAGTACTTGCATATGAATTCAAGTTATCTGCATCAATGTACATCATTTGTGTAATTATACAACTGACTTGTATAATTGTACTAATTGTGTAATTATACAACTGACTTTGAACATGGATTCCTGTTATCTGCATCAATTTACATCATTTGTGTAATTATACAACTGACTTAATTCTAATATTTAATAAAGGATGAAAGTATTTTTCTCAATGGTGTTTTATCAGCCTAATAAAGTGATGTCTAGATAAAGGGACTTGCTAAAAACTTTGAGACAAGAAGAAACATCCATACGTATGCTTGATATTCAAATCATTGGGATGTTGAAGGTTGCTATATAAAATCTACTTCTAAGAAAGAATCACTTGAAGGGTTTGCTGACATTACTATTCTCCTGGAATAAACGTCTTAATCGCTTCCATTCTTGATGGCATGTTTACCATCGAAGAGGTAACTGGAATCAGAACTGAAAATGACCCTCAGAATGATTAGGGCTGCTTAGTAGTCAACGAATTAAAAATATCTAAGGTACATCGGTAAACATGATTCAAGATTCACCGCTAACGTACACTGCTTCAAGATGCAGGAAAGAGAAATAATTAGAATTAAATACTATGTAATTTGCTCCTTTAAATATGGGTGATTAAACCACTCTACCATAGAGCATTATGCAGGTCTATTTGGAAGGAAGCCCCGTTGAATTCAACGGGGCTTTCCAACGGATCAAAGTGCATAGGACTGCAGTCGTGGTCACTGGCTATAAGAACAATCCAGAAGACCAGGAATCTAACTGGAACCACACTTCCGACCGAGATAAGCTGGTATGGCCACATTTTGAGGGGAGGCCCCCCCGTGATTTTGAAGTGGTCCAAGGAGAGAATGGAATGTCAAAAGGGGAACCGGAGCCCAACTTGCAACTGCTCCCAACCCGTTTTTAGGATCAGGTGTTGCATCTGAATAGGATTGCTTGACTGGATTTCATTGGCCATTATGTAAATAATTCCTAACATTCAGCTTCTTATTCATGACTCTAGGTACGTGTGGCTAAAGTGCAGCATTTGGTAGGCATAGCATGAATTCAGACTGCTTGGATTTCAACATGGGGAGGCTCAAAACAGTCAAGAGGGTGGTTGCAACGGCGTGATCAAAGCCACCGGCTTTTTTGACCGCCTCCTATGGACGCCTCTGTTTGAAGCAGGTTGGGAAGTAAGTGTTTAACTAGCACTTCTCGGTTTACAAAGGAAGTAGCCATGGGTAAGAGCAGCTTTGCACAAGCAAACAGCAGTGTCACAATTCAGCGAAGCGTCGGGCTTCCATGCACTGAATACAGATTTAAATCCATGGAGACTACCCGTGAGAAAACATCTGTATGTACCCTACCTGTCTTGATATGTTGAATCTGTCTCTCTCCACCCCCCCCACACTCTCACACTCTCACACGCACACACTAAATGTAAACAAAAGTATTAGGACCAATATTTCCAAAACACAAGTGTCTAAATTTGGTTGTCGGAATCCATATTTACTCACCCCAGTAAATGGGCTGACTTTAAAAGATGTTACTAAAAACCAACACATTTTGTTAAGTGATTAAACGTAGCTCTTTTTTTTTTCTTTTTCCACAATCCCCACTGTCAGCAATCTGGTCTAAGCCTAGGGATTTCTTTTCCTCTTTTTTTTGCTCATCCAATGAAATCATCGTTTTCAGAACCAGAGAACAGTTTAGAAACTTGATGTCCCTCCTCCCTCCCTGCCCGTTCCACAAAACCCGCCGAAGGGGTTTCGGGACCTGGGCCAGCCTCTCCTCCTCCGAAGGAGACGTGGGAAATAGCAGCACAAACCCCCTTGCAGTGTCCTCTCCCTCCCAACTCGAATTTCTGGTGTACATGCAGCACAACACTGAACACGCCAGCATATAATTTAAAAGAAAAAGGTGCAAAATGAAAGTGCCTTATCAATTCAACAATAAAAGCTATACCAGTAACTACATTTTATATTAATTAAAACAATATATAAACAATATCGTCTCTTTTGCTATATATTGACTTCATGCCCATTTACCCTGTAATAGATTATAATGCTATTGCTATGGACTCTCATCGTGCCGTTTCGCCCCGCGGCAACCGTGGCACGGTGAAAAGACATCGTCCTTCATGAAACAATGAGCAAGTTGTGCAAAACCGATGATGCGAAGCCTCTGCAGGGCACACCAGTCGCTGGTTTCTAGCTGGAGATCCCGTTCTCGCGAACAGAACCTCGTTCGGTGAGAGTCTCGGTGGGCAGTGAGTTACAAGGACAGAGAAAGACCCTCCTCCTGCGTAAAGAGAGGCTGACGGCTGAGAAGTCCAGGCAGGAAAGAGGGTCCCCCTCGGCGGGCATCGCAACGACTGCACCAATGAGAAAAACAAGTTCAGCTCGCGCTTCGTTTTTCCCACCCTTCTGCCTGACTCCGGTTTCTGGAAGATGTGCAGTGTGCTGGCTCCCTACGTCTAAGCGGGGCCACGAAAGTGTCTCGGTTTCGTTTAATCTCTCTCTCTTTTCCTTTCGGTTTTTAACGTTCGTACCTCAGGCATTCTAGGAGTATTTAGAAGATACCTTTACCCTTCCATCTGCACCGTTGGCTCAAATTCTGAAGTGAACAACTCCTTGTACAAGGGAGGAAAGTGAAGTCGCACAATGTCTGGATATATTGCTCTAAACGCCATAAGCTTTTCTGTATGTCGTCCACACAGTGCTCTTAAGGTAGACACTTTGCATATTAGCTGTGGGGGGAGACGCGAAACAAATGCAATCGGTTAGAGTTCGTCCGTGATTTTTCAAGGGGGGCTTCGAGGTAGTAGCCATAAAAGCTTCTCAGTCTCCTTGCAAAGTGGTGGGGTGGGGTGGGGTGGGGTGAGGGCGGGAGGAGAACCTGGTGGGTTGCATCAGGGAAGGGGGGTGGTCGCACCAGGTCCCTCTGGTTTTGGTTTTATTGTTTGCTGCTGTTCTTGTTGTGAGCTGCCCAGGGTTTGGTTTTAAGACGGGCAGCTATCCAAATGTTCTAAATAACTGGCATACAAATAAAGCTGGAAGTGCTGGAAGACACAGCGTCTGCAACCTGTTCCTCTTGCATTCTCAGGGCCTGCAAGGCCACCAGGACTTAGAAAAGCCAAGGAACAAATAGAAGTGGTCCTTTCCCCATAATCAAATGTTGTCTTCCAGAAGCGTTATGGGTTATAGGTGAGTGTGGGACCCCTATGCTCATCTAGCAATAGCTACCTTATCCATGGCTATGTCTTCCATTGATAACCATGTCAAAGAAGACATCGTTTAAAGGAAGTTGGATTCCTCCCAAGAGGAGGAATTATACTTCATGCAATTTTAAGAAATATGAAGATTGCCCTCCCTAACGTTAAAATTGCTGCATAGCTGATGCTGAATTTCTAAAGAGATCAGTTCACACTCAATCAAATGCCATCCCTCAGATTGAGAAGCCTTGTACTCTAGTTCAGCATCTACAGCAACTCTAGAAGGAAGAAATACCTCATCTGTGTTTTCTAAATCATGATCTTCTTTTTCCCTTCTGCATCCCATACAAGGAGGTTTTATCAGGAGGGCCACCAGCCTCAGACCCTGCTAAAGTCTAAACCTCAACAGGAACGTTCTGACCACGACAAGTAGAAATATATTAAATCCTATTTTTTTAGATCCCAGAAAAATGTATCTTGCCACACTGTGGAATTTTATTTTATTTTATTTTTCTAAAGAATTGTGGCTAGCAATTTCTCATTCCTTGTTCATCTCTATTATTCGAGCTTATTAGAGTATTGTTGGGATTTCCTGCATCAAATTTTAAACAAGCATCATAAAATATACCATAAGAGATGGTGTTAAATCTGTTAAATGTTACACTGCTGGCCTAGCTGGTTAAATAGGCTTTAATGTGCAAAAGACCGGGGTAGATTAATTACCTTTGTTAATATCCCATCTTCTCGATGGTTTTTCTGCAGCACGTGCTGAAGCGCGAACTGAATTTTTTGCTGGAGCTTTTCTATTTTTACCTTTTCCTGAAGCCACGATCGATCTAAAAGAAAAGAAACGGGCATTTGGATGGTTCTTTTCAAACAGCAATCACAGTTTGCGGTGATTTTATTTCTTGTGTTGAAGCCTTGCGTAAACCCCACCACCACAAAGAGAGTGATCCAACTTCCGCGGTAGCGCACCCATCTCAGATGTCCCACCACCTTCGATTCCTTGGCAGAATGCAAGAGAGGTGGAGGAAGACTTGATGCTTCTCCATCCTCTTTCTTCCCAGAAATGGTCCAAATTTTCCCTGAGTTTGGGGATCAGGCAAAAGGCTTTAAGGTCCAACAGGTGTGGGAAGAGAGCTGCTGGGTTTACAAGCTTCAGGAGATCATGAACGAGCACATCAATGACATGGGCTTCCTCTACTGAAACGTCCATTTTACTTTCAGGATTACCAAGCTAAGCGATGAAGTCAGGTTTTCAATAACAGAACCTGCTGACTTTACGAACTAAACTAAATATATTGCTCTGAAGCAAAAGCACGCTATTTTGGTTCAGGAGCTGACAACATTCAAGTGGGATTTCATACTCCGGGAATATCACAAAGAGGTTATTTTGAAAAAACAAAATTACTTTTTAAGGATCATATCTTACCTGCAGATAGTAAAACAAATGCTGAGAATAATGCAATCTCGTCTTCAGTAAGGTGCAGAGAACATAAACTCTTTCCAAATTCAAAAACAAAACTAATGAAATCTTCACAGCCTGCCAAAATAAAACAATCACACAGGGTCTCTTCCAAATAATGCAACATACTTTTTGTAGGATAAAACACACTTTTCAGTTACTGCTTTTGCACTTAGAATACGAAAGTTTGCTTGGTATATTTTTCTAGACTATATACCCTGAATTTTCCAATTTAAATGTCAGGATACTGACGTATAATAATTAAGTCTCATATAAGACTAAAGAACTGGAATCAAATTGTGCACCTGTGTGTTTATGAATCATCCTTTGAGTTATTCGTACACTATTTATTTATGATCAGAAATTAGTTTTAAGAAAAGAGCCCTTTTTAGAAATAAGCTTCTAATGAAACATTTTCTTGCCTTACCTAATGATTTGAATACATCAGGGCCAGCATATTTGCCATCAAAGTATACTGTGTTGTTCTGAGAGTCAAAGGCACGGCACATTCTGATAAATACAACCTCTAAAGACCCTAAATGAAATGAGAAAAGATTTTTCAATGGCAGCATTAGATCTATCTTAAACAAACAACAGGTTTCAGGTTGCTTTTAAGAGTCTTTCTTGTTCACTAAGGACTTCTTGTTATGGGGTGTAACTTCATTTTCGATCTTATATATTACGTATATAAAATTAATTCCATCCATTTAGTATATATAAAACTGATGGATTTACTTATTTATTTCAATAAGCAAAATACTCTGGGCAGATTATAGTGCTACGTAAAACAATAAGAATTTTAAGAATAAAGAAAACAGTGTACAATTTCTTGAACTGCCTAGAATACTATACACAGCTGCCTTTGGTACTAAAGTGTTTCATGGACTTTTTTTTAATTATTCCAGTGGCATCGAGACCATTCTGTCCTTATATAGCCCCAAGATTAAATTAGCGGTTTGACTGTGAGGGCAGCACAGACCAGTTGTTATGTGATTTGATTTGTTAAGTAAAATGTGCCTCCAAGTATTCTGAACACAAGCAAATTAATAGCTCCAAAACGGCCAATTCCGACAAAGAAGCCAACTCCCGCAAGCGTCAAAGACACAGCCACCCTTGAACCTTACGCTAAAGAACCTGTTTTTTAAAACGAAAACAGAAAGAGGGAGTAATAGTAACAGCACCAGTCAGACTGAAAGAGAAGCGGGAAGAATTCAAGGTCCTAAAATGACGCTGGAAGGAAGAAAGTGGATTAGAAGATACTGATGACCCAACCCATGTTCTGTCACTGCCTTCAAGACCAAAAATAGAAGGATTTTCTTCACTTATCATGGTCATTCCCATAAAGGGTCCTTCTAGGCAAAGCATTCATTGTGGAGGCAACCAGCCACATTACAATCCCAATTATGCGTCCCACTACTTTTTAGACTTCTTCCTCGAGTCCCAAAAACCTGTTACGGAGGGAAAGGCGAAACCACAGCACAACCCTTTTGGTTGGGTTGGCAAGATCTGCCCAGCAGGAGCCACCTCATGTTTCCTCCATCATTGAAGGTCTTTGCTCAGTCCCCCCTCCCCAAATATTCTTGACAACTCAGCCAATCATTCAATTGCACTTCTTTAGACGGTCAGTCTTTTGGGTTTCCCTAAGAACTTTTCAGCATCACGCCACAAATAATTATTCTACTTCTACGGGAGAGATTCTAGAATTAACTTCATGGGTGAAACGAATGTGGATTTCAGCACTTGACTTACAGTCGCATAATTTCCTTCTCTGGATTCTTCTATATCGCCAGGAAGCAACACATGATTTCCCCAAAGGCTAATGTTACATCCTTTGTGCAGTAAATTATATGATGAACAAGGATTTCAGTAGATTTAAGGCAGCCTTAGTTAAGTTTAGCAAAAACACTCTCTTGGATAACGAACTGAGTTTCTACTTTTCATGTTTTATTCATTTTAAAGGGCTTGTTCCTGACATTTTTTAAATTTAACTCTGGTTTTTTTTAGCAGCAATTACTAGTCCTCGCAAATACAGCAATGTAGCAGCCCATGATTGACAATAGTTGAGTGGAAAGCTTTTAGTTTTAGCTTTTAGGAAGATTCAATTTCCATCGTAACCGGCGTTGCACAACCCCTCACACAAGCAAAACTGTTTAACAAAAGGCACATACCTGCTTTTAGAAGCACAATTTGATCGTTTTGGCATAGTTCCATAAAGCCATCGATGCGTTTGGCAAACTCCACCACATACTGTATTGCTTCTGTTATCTTCACTGCACATAACTGCCACATTATCTCTCTCTGCTGTGGGAGAGAAAGAAGACCAGCTACTTCACAATGTTTGCTAAACTTCTCCCAGGAAAGACTCTGAAGGATTAAATCACAGTAATACATTAGATTTATAAGGCTACCAACCCAGAAAGACTCAAGGGGGCGTTCGAAGTTAAAAACATCAGGAAAAAATACACCACCCAGTACAGGAATAACAGGGGATTGGGGGAATATACAAACAAAATTCCAACCCACCTTCAAACAGCTGCTGCCCTGTTGAAAAAGCAAGTTTTTAGAGGCCACGGAGTCCTCATATGGACAGTGGATGAGCAAATGACAGGACAAAGTATTTTATTTATCTATCTAAGTAAGATTTTTTGGCCACCCATCTCATTACTTGTAATGGTATGAGGGAATGACCTTGGGAGATGGGAGGAAGAGCCGTGGACCGGACAACCGGTGTGCAAAAAGTATCTCAGTCCACAGAAGGAGAGGAGGCGTGGGAAGCACCTCAGAAGGGACCCTCTCTAATTTTCTGGAGAGTAAAGGGAAAGGAGGGCAGAAATACTTCCAGACTTGCAAGATTCTGTTAATGTAACCTTGCAATAAATATAGAGCTAGGATTCATGGTTGTGGTTCTTCTCTGGACTACCTAAAAGAGTTAACAGTACTGCTATTTTAGTCAATATATTTCAAATTTCAGAAACAGCACATATGGTTTCCATCCTGCGTGTGATTCCCTTATTTCATTTCAATTCGTAGTATAGCGGTGTTCATAAATATTTCAAGAATAGAGATAAACCATTAGGGTCTATCATTTCTATCTCTTTCTTTTTCTTTTTTTAACTATAGAAAATCATAAATAGGTACCAACTAATGTTGCAGAGACATAAAATAATGGGAAGCCATGTTCTGAATAAAACTTGCAAACAAGGGCCAGGAAATGGAGCTTTAAGAGTGCAAATATTATATACATCATATAAACATTTTTACATTTTTAAAAGCATCTCTGAGCTGAAGATGCTGGGGAAGCCCTGACCCATCCAATGGCTGAAGGCTGTGTGGGGCTGATCCCCAGCAAGAAGAGTCCCTGTTTGTTCAGTGAGGGCCTTGTGATAGCTCTGGATGGGGCCCCCTCCCAAAGACAGGGGTCCGAGACTTGGGGCTCATCCTGCACTCACAGCTCCTGCTGAACAAGCAGGTGGGAGCCAAGGCTGGCGAGGGAGGGTGCCTTTGCCCAGTTTAGGCTCATAGGCCAACTAGGGCCCCATCTGGAGCCCTGGTACCACTGACTCACACACTCAACACCACGGGTCTAGTCTCCTGAAACATGCTCTCTGTGGGGCTGCCTTCCAAAATGCCCCAGAGACTTAATCTGGCATACAACATGGCAGCCAAGATGCCAGGTTATATTGCAGAAACATAACACAGAGTCTCTGATTGCTGCTCTCGTTGCCAATCGGTTTCCAAGTCCAGTTCAAAGTACTGGTTTTGACTTGAACGGCACTACGGCTTGTTTGAGATGTTTGTTTATTTATTTACCAGGTCACCCCCCCTTTTTTTTTTGGTTTGGGGGTTTATTTACATCGCATTGGTATTATTTTTGATTTTAATCCTGTACTGCAAAGCCTAGGGAGCTGGGGGGTTTACCTCTACGCCACCAGTCATTAAAATAAACCAACCCATCGGCCAAGAAATACCTTGCTCTGGTAGTTCTCGATTTCTTCCTGTAGAAAAGTTTGCCACGTTATCTGCTGTAACTCCTCCCTCAAGTACTGGCAGGTTTCCATATGTGACTTAGAGATATTCTGCGCAAGATGTTCTAAAAACCAGAAGTTTCATGCATTAACCAAGATGCTTCAGAGATTTCTTGGTGCGCCTTCTGCCTGGCTCACCAGTAAGCTGCAGTTGTCATTAACAGCAAATCTGTACAGGGCTGAAATGAGCTTCTTAACGTCCGTTTATATTTTTTTCACTGTGGCTTCTAGTTCTGACAGTCGCTGTGAGTGATGAATGACTGGATTTAAGCAATTCTGGCTAAGCTGGTGTTTCTCGGCTTTAACCCATGAACGTGCAGCACTGCTGATTGCCAGTTGACTGGTTCAGCTAGCCCAGGATTTGTCTGAATGACACCATTTCTCATCCTTTGAAGAGGAAAGAGGGGCAAGGGAGGGGTGGGGGGGACCCATAACACCTGTACGTTTCTGCATGCTATTTCAATGCTGTTCAAAGCATCCAGATCTTTCTGAAGAAATGGCATAAGGAGCTAGCCAAGTATGGATAACATATCCACTGTTTATACTGTGCTGATTTCCCCCCCACCCGGTGAAATAGTACCCCATATTACCTGGGAGAGAGAGGCTGTTATTGCTATGTTCATCCAAGAAGGAACAATGGCTTAGGCTTAAGGTAAGCCCATTCTTAAAAAGTAACTGTCACGCATGGAGGCTTGTTCTCCAAACAGATGTCACAGGTGGCAAATGATAAATAATTTTCACCACCAAAAAACACTTCTGTTGGCTGTGATTTGGCAGACAGATTCACATCTCACTTCTGTGTGTAAAGGGGCTTTCTACACGCTAGCAAATTTGCAGCCTCCAAATGAAACCAGATGAAGAAGCTAAATTTCATAAGCCCTTCAATATGGGAATCACAGAGATCTGCTCTCCTGGGTTCTAACTATTCCTCTGTGGAAATGAACGAGAGACACGCAAGAACACAGTAAGGTTGTATCCTATTGGGATAACAGAAGTATTTGGATGTTCTGCATTGTTCATCGTGTCTCGGATGAGCTTGGGATGTGGTGAGGGTAATTTCTGGCTGTAGAGTACTGGAAATTCCCTGTCTGTTGACCACCTTGACAAAAATGTTGCATGTTAGGCCATCATTACTGCTTGGGAAGAGCTGGCTCCGTGTTTCTCGACCGTGGCAACTTTAAGATGGGTGGACTTCAACTCCCAGAGTTCCCCAG